CAGTAAGGATTGTTGTAAGAAAGCCATTATTAATCAAGACACAAGAGTGATAAGGGTATCTCAAATTATCGCCATTATTATTTGTGAACAACCTTCTTTCTTGTTATCGTCCTCCTGCTGTTATGAGTCTCAGACTTGTGAAGAAATCCCAATGCTGAATCGATGAAATCACTGATTACAAAATCGAAGGATGGAAGCTAGTCCGTCCGCAGAGATGTCGGTAGTGGTTTAAACATCGTGTGCAAAGAGGAATGCATAAACGTCATCCAAGATCCTCAATATAAAACTTCTCAAGTATCCTCTAAGGCTACCCACAAAGTTTCGTAAGGAAATAGGCGAATAAAGGATGTAAAATTCCACTGACAGACTGACCGAAAGATTTTGGCATAGAATTTTGCACAAAAGTGCACCAGTATTGAGTTCCCACTTTCCCTCCATGTAGCATACAAAGCAAGAGAAGAGAGTGAAGACAGAAAAAGAATAGTCATATGGAAGAACAATAGACTTTAACTTGAGATGACAGATTGCAAGGAGTGGATGCATTTCAGCCATTGAGAACGACGGCTTTGAGCCAGATCATAAATTTTCTCCAGTCCGAGGACCTCAACCAGGAAATCTACACTTCCCTAAGTAGTCGGCTGGCTTAAACTAAATGTTATGGATTTCACTAAACGGCGAAGCCATGCTCTTGAATCTGATCCATCCTATTTCAAATAACATTGTCCGTCGAGGAAGGCGATGGCTTAGTGTGCATGTGTAACATGTGTCCTAACCATCTCAATCGACGTAACTTCACCACAAACTCGTCGATTGATTTTATTTCTTTACCTAATACTCGACTGATGCCTAACCTCAATATTACTCACCCTGTAAAACTCCAGATGTAAATACAGTCAACATGAAACATGAAATCTTCATTCATCTCGACTTCGGAGGTGATGGTTTTAATCATGAGAATGATGAATAATAAACGTTTAAGTACGGCATTGACTAGGACGTATCCAGCAGCAAATTTATGATTATTATTATTGTATCCTTTAATTCCTACAGGAACATAGGGCTTCAGCCGTGCGTCTCCATTGCGTTCTGTTCTCTGCTAGAGTCTTCACCTGGCTCCATGTCTGCCCACACGTTTTCATCTCCTCTTCACATCACCTCCTCCAAGTCACCCACCCTCACACTGACGACCAACTCGCCGCTTCCCTTTCATTCGGGGGCCACTCGAGCAATGGCTTGTCTAGTGATGTCACTTGATGGTTTGTTTTCTCAGAGTATGGCCAGCCAATCCATCTCCATTTCTTCCTGCCTATTTGTTTCACAATTGGTTCCTAGTTGGTTCGCTCATTACCAGAGATCCCTCTCTGTTGCTGATCTTTTCTGGACGGCCTTCTGATCTTGAGTAGTATTGAGCGAAGACAACTGTTAATGAAGCTGTGTAGTTTGTTTGAGATGCTCTTTATGACGCGCTGGCCAAGTCTCTGATCCGTATAGTGAGTAGCACTGACTGACTTCACATTGGAGTTGAAAATCCGGATCTTATCTTCGTTTTGATGCTGAGTGTTGTTGACCTCCACAAAGACTTGAGAGTAGTGAAAGCTTGTCTTGCTTTTCCAATTCTTGCTTTGATATCCTAGTCAGCTCCCTTCGCCTGTAGTTGAAACGATGCTTCCCAGGTAGGTAAAAGAAGTTGTTTCTTTGAGGTTCCTCCCATTTATGCTGGGTGTTGTCAGGTGTTGTTGTTGCTGTTGGTGGTGTTGCCCAGGAATTTTCATCACCTCTGTTTTCTCTATGTTCACCTGAAGGCCTATCTTTGATGCTTCTTCTGCTAACTTGTTGCTTTTCGCTTGCATATCTTCCAGTTTGTGGGAAATCAGACATATATCATCGGCGAAGTCCAGATCCTCCAAGTTTTTGTGTGAGTCCATTTTATGCCTGTTTCCACATTGCCCACTGTTTGTCGCATTATCCAGTCTACTGCGATCAAGAAAATCATTGGCGATAGTAGGCAGCCTTGTCTTACTCCTGTCCTCACTTCGAAGGATTCCGTAAGTTTCCCGTTGTGGATTACTTGGCATGCAGCATTGTCGTACAACTGTTGGATGAGGTGTATAATTGTCGGTGGCACCCTTTGGTGGTAGCGAAGTAGTTTACAAAGCACCTCTCGATCGACGATGTCGAAGGCCTTTTCAAAGTCGATGAAGTTGAGATAGAGAGGTGACTGCCATTCCAAGCTTTGTTCAATGATGATCCGTAATGTTGAGATCAGTGGACCTATTAAGAACATCCAAAATAACTAACAGCCCATATCTCCGTAGATTTGTTGAGGCTATTGCACTAAAATTGTCACTGGACTTAAATTACTATGGTAACTCTCACCTTAGTTACCCCTTGTCTAAAATGCTCTTATCGTCCTTATGTTTTGTTTAACTATGGTTTTGTTACAACAATCCTTCTCTTCTGGGGGACTGATTCATGGTGATGAACAAAATGTATGTTAAATGCTCATTATAACTTGTTTTATTTAGGATAACAGATTAGACGCAGCTGAAGAGAATCGATGAAATAAAACTGATCGTCTCCTTCACTTACCTGGCCAATGCAGCTTTGTTTCATGGCGAGGACATGAATTCCAACTTCTGCCAATCCAAGCACTACATAGCTCGACTGGCACTAGCTAATGTCATCGGTGGCTATTATTTGTCCACACACCCAACCCACTTTTCCCACACTGTCAGTCACAACTTCTCACTAGAACCCAGGTGACTATCTACCTGAATAGGGTCAGTCACTAGTGAGTGTCGGAGTGGTATTCAGGTGTTCTTTTGCAAGGATTTGATTGATCATAGGATTTTATCATGAGCTGACATCGGTTAGAAAATCATTGGAAAACCACCAGGGAGTGCTGTAGGGAATTCTCCTCCTGGTTTTGGACTCTTCGTCAGTACGCACCCACTGCCAGGCTTCTGACCAAGGACCTTCAGGTTACAAGGTGAGCTCGCAGACCATTTAGCCACCGAGATTCAACTCAATGGCAAGCTCATGAATTCCAACTCCTACGAACTGACAATATACCGCAGATAACACTAGCCAATGTCATCGGCGAGTATTTGTAACCGAAATGTCATTTGTTCACACCCTGGCGGTTAGTGCAAACTATTAAAGAGTCCCGAGCAGTAGGACGAAACAGTTGTCCAATACTCCCTGGTTGGTTTCCCAATCGTTCCCTCTCTAACCAATATCAGCTCATGATGAAATTCTGTAACCGATCAAATCAAATCGCTGCAAACCAACATTGAAATAATACTACTTTTTAAGTGTGAAACATTTTTGATTGATTCGGTTGAATTTTCAAATTTTATACAATTACCTTGTCAAACTATATAAGAATAAAACTTGTGCACTGAGGTAGAGTATAATTCCATTATGGATAAAATTTGTTTTGATAAAGTCTCACAGTGTTATACAGTAGTATTATTTACTGATGACGACGTTCCGAGCACAATTTATTGCTCATAATCATATCAAGGTAATCACACGACTTCCTAAATTCATTTATATAGTTCCGTTGTTTTTCACTTGATTTGATTGGTAGTAATATTTTCCATATTTCGGGTATGAGTGATGAATCATTCCTATTGCATGTGTTGGGTGTAGACTCGATGAACAAAGATTCAGTAATAAATCTCTCTCTCCACCTACCTAGATTACTTTTGTAGAATTTTATCTCAATCGCAGCAGATGTATTTATGGACAGTTGGGAAAATAGTGCTCTTAATACATTTAATCCTATTCCAAAAATATGATGGATATATGTGGATGACACTTTCACAGTGTTAAAAACAGAACATATCTCTCTCTAGCTTCTTGACACACATAAACTCACTAGTGAAGGGAATAAAATTCATATTTGAATCGGAAAATGAACAAGGAGAATTAGCTATGTTGTTAGATTGTTAAATAAAACGAATAGAAGAAGGTAAACTGCACACTAGTGTTTATAAAAAAACAAATCATTCTAATAGATATTTAGACTTTGATTCATCTCCTCCGTTATCTCTCTGTGAAGGCAGGCTTAGTTAAGTGTCTAACAAACCGAGGAATAGCACCAAGTAGTACAAGAAGAGACCTAGACGATGAAAGGAGACAGATAGAAGAAGCGTTGATGTTAAATAACTATCCTAAAAAATTCATTAGAAAGATCAGTAATGACCAAAAGCGAAATAAAAATAATTGTGAAACTAACAATGATAACATAAATAAGAGAGAATATAAGGCGTCAACTGTTACACCATATAAGGAGGGAACATCTGAGACCCTACGTAGAATTCTGAATAAAGCAGGAATTAGAGTGGTGGCATTCAAACCTACAAACTCACTCAGGGACAAGCTCTGTGAGTTAAAGGACCCTGTCTGTGGACCCAATTAAACAAAATAATATAATTTGCAAAATACCCTGCAATGGCTGTGAGGTCATCTATATAGGTTAGAAAAGTAGATCGTAGTTAGCCAGATTGTCGGAACATAAAAATTTAGCTATGGTAAGAATCGTTGACCCCGAGAAGATAAATAATTTAGAAAAAAGCTCAGTGATTGTACTGCATGCATTAACACACAACCACACAATAGGGTGGGAGAGGGTTAAAATTCTAAAAAGTAATCTAGGTAGGTGGAGGGAGAGGTTGATTACTGAATCTTTGTTCATCGAATCTACACCCAACACATGCAAAAGGAATGACTCATCACTCATACTGGAAATATGCAAAATAATACTACCAATCAAACCGAGTGATGAAAAATAATGGAATTATATAAACTAAGTTAGGAAGTCGTGTGAGTACTGTCTTGATATGATTATGAGCAGTGATAAATTGTGCTCGAAACGTCGTCATCAGTAAATAATACTACTGTATAACACTGTGAGACTTTATGAAAACAAATTTTATCCATAATGGAATTGTCGAACTTTAGTTGAATAGCTATGCGACCAACATTCTACTTTCATGGACACTTTTATTATTTACTCTAAGATCTTATATTTTCTTGAAAAGAAGACTCTATTGTCACAATTGAGAATCTTAACTTCTTTTATTTTCTGTTTTAATGTATTGAAGTTATCATCCAGTGAAAGCGGACAGTCATTTCTACTTGAACATATTAAATTTCTTGAAAATGAATTGGAAAGATCTCATGAAAATGAAAAGCGTGCTATTCGTTCACTTCAACAACAATATGAACGAGTTAAACTGCAGGTTAGTTAGAATTACACATATTTATATGTTGGACGTCAGTGTTTGAGTGTTTGGAATGTTCTCAAATCCTATTAGGGGATCCGTGTCACATTCCTAAACTATATCAAGTCTATGAGACCTACCAAGGCTTCTGTTAAGAAAATGTGGAAAATTCTAAACAACGGTGTTAGGAAAAATGCCAGAGAATTCCTAGAAGTCCAGTACTTGGATCAGTCCGTACTCAGTGGAAATTTTGACTCAGATCTAACTTGTTAATGAATAAAAAAAACAGCTTAAAATCCACATTGAGTCATATGAAAAAGAGAAGACGTTCAGCGAAGAGACTCTTTTCGGCGAATTCATTCACATAGCTGTACAATCGCATTTATATATAATTATTTGTGTGTGTGTACATGAGGTTTGTCAAGTTTAGATAATTGATCAGGTAATACAAGAATGATCTAATATAGAAACAAGGTTAATTAGACAGCAACTAAAGTAAGATTGAGTTAGTAAGTTAGATGACGTAATATAATTGACTAAAATGTTTCAACTTAGATCAGGGTAGCAACAGAGGTAATTACAGGTAGAGACTAAGTAGAATTGGGGTAGAAAATAATGCCATTTAAATTAGAACTAAAATTGAGCAAATAAGTTGAATGGCGCAACACAAATGACTAGAAATTTAACGTTGGTCAAGTCAGTAACAGTGGTAGTGAGGTGCAGAAATTAAATCGGGTGGGGGTCGAGAACAAGAAGGTTGAAAATGTAGAATATTACAATTGAGAAGATAAAATAATACTAATGAAGAGACAGAAGAAAAAAAGATTAGGTAGAATTTACATGTCGAGTTATAAGATAGAGTACGTCCATTGCAAATGTAGTGATTGAACAAACTTCTTCTGTATGCAGAGTTCATGACGTAGCAAGTGAATCGCCATTGCTTCTGCAGTTTGAAGAAGTCTGATTCGTACACCTTTGGGAAGACTAGTTCGTATTCTGTTGACGACTTTGAAGTTTGTTTGGGGTGTAGCTTGGTGTCCAGAATCTATCACATGGGGCTTCGGGGGCATCGTTTTTCTCCTTTGTGAAACCATGTTGGTAAGTGTTCGGTGATACGTTTGGAAAACGAACGCTGTGTACAGCCGAAATACCTGGCTCCACACGAGCAGGTGAATTCATAAATACACACTGATGAGGCCAGCAGTGGTAGATTATCCTTCACGTTTCCATGAATCATGGGTTTTGTGGAGAAGGTTAGTCGTAGTTCAGCTGCGAAGAAGGTCTTCTTTAGTGAGCACGACAGTCGGTTTTTCAGTGTTTCCGCAGATATATCTCCACTGAATTGAAGGTTCATGTAAAGTAGTTTTTTCGGGACGCTTAGCATGGGCGGCATTTGTGATCTAGGATTCATAAACACATGTCTGAAAGTTCAAATTCCACATCAATGAAATAATCAATACCAGTACAAATTAAGGCAAGCATTAGAATCGTTTTGACGCAAGCCAACTGCAGTCAAATTCATCAAGAAAGACGTTGAATTAAGCGTCGAAGATCTAGCCAATGAAAGCATTGCAATATGTATATATGAGATATCCAAGAGAATGACTGTATACTGTGATAGCAGGAAGAATAAATTTGAATCAGACACAGAAATAACCAGCAAAAACAAAACTCACATTGCATCCTCTCACTAGTGACTACTATCCATGTGATATTCTAATGTTTGCAGATGAAATGGCATACAAATCATGCACACACTCTTCTGTCTTACAGTCGTATCTTTATTGATAACAAAGCACTGATTTATGACTGCATTACTCCTGGTCTTATTACTGTTATTAATCCCTTGCGTTCCGAGTGGAACATATGACTGGCTTCAACAACATTTCCCCACTTTATTATGTTTTCTGCCGTCCTCTTCAGCTGGGTCCACGTTTGATCAAACTCTCTCATATCTTCCTCACATGATCTCCTCCATGTCACCCTTTCACCGACGACCCACTAGTCGCTTCCCATTTGGATTCCATTCGAGCCATGGCCTGACGTGCGACGTCATTTGGCGCCCTCCTCAATGTATGCCCGATCCATCTCCACTTTCTCGTACATATTTTTTGAGCGATCGGCACTCGCCCATCGGTTTGTTTCCACAGTTTCTTGTTGCTTATTCTTTCTGGCCATTCGATCTTAAGTATGGAGCGAAGGCAGCTGTTGATGAAAATCTGCAACCAGTTGGAAACCCATTTCGTGACACGTTGGGCAAGTTTATGACCCATATAAAAGGACTGACTTGAAATTGGTGTTTAAAATGCTAATATTGTTCCTTCTGCTTAGTGCGGCAGATTTCCAAACTGATTTCACGTTGGGTGATGAAGGCGTATCTTGCCTTTCCGATTCTGACTGACTTTGAAATCTTCATCCGTTCCCCTAGCTTGTAGTTAAAACGATGCTTCGTGGCCAGATAAGTGAAAGAGGCAACCTCTGTTAAATCTCTCCCGTTGATGGTGATTAGTGCTGGTCGATTTTGCTGTTGATTGGTTATCTTCATCACCTCCGCCTTCTCTGTGTTCACCTGCAGTCCTGTTTCCGCTGCCAGCCTCTTCAGCCGGTTTGTTGGTTTTCACCTAAAGGTCTTCGAGTTTGTGTGATGCATTCATTCCCTGTGATCTTCTATACCCCGTTAACCGCCATGTTTATCCATTTTAATATTTCCTTCTGCTTTTATGGTTCTTTTGAATCTCTTTTTCCTCTAGCTTTGTGTGGTACATGGAGTCTGCCAAATGTAAATGTGCTAATTCGAGTTAAGTTCTACGTCTTGGGCCAGGGCAGTTATGTGCATAAAAGGAGTGTGTAAATAGTTTTGTATGCCAACTTTCATCACAGTGACTTCAATTTCTAGAGTGTTCTTTCTAAACTGATTGTTTCACACTACTTCGAAAAAACACTTTCATATTAGATAATCTCATCGGATATATTTCTAAGCGTGATAGATAATTATTAAGTGGATGACATTTTCAAGCATGATGTATTGCTTATAATAACCGTGTCATTGTATTCACACGACTCCATGACTTGCTTTGTGTAGCAACATTGAAATATTTCCATTAATATCGGATAGGCGTTGCGTCATTTTAATTGTGCAAGTGCAGTGTTGATTCAGTGAATAAAGGTTTGATCACTGGTTGATATAACTTGGAGATAACCATTGAAAACCACCAAGGAGTACTTGACAACTGTTTCCTCCTAGTGCTTGGGACTCTTTAGCAGTATGCACCCACCACAAGGGTTCGAACCCAGGATCTTCCGGTTACAAGCCGAGATCATAGATCATTCAGTTTCTGGGACCCACTCCAATGATTAGCTCACGAATTCCAGCTTCTGTCAGTTCATGGCATATATATATATGACGCAACCACCAGTTATTGGATCGGCCTCGAGTATCTGAATGGTCTATGAGCTTACCTTGTAACCGGAAGGTCCTGGGTTCTAACCCCTTTGATGGGTGTGCACTGATGAAGCGGCCCAAGCTAGGATTAAACAAATGTCCAGTACTCTCTGGGTTTCAGTAGTACTTCTCAAACTGATGTCAGTTTGTGATCAATCGCGTGATTAATGAAATCCCTGAAAATGAACGCTAGATAATCAAGGAATAAAGACTCGGTGATTAACTTCTCTCCATCTTTCCACCTACCTATTTCTGACTTTTCAGTAATTTCACTCTATTGTACAATTACGTGCAAGTGAATGCATTCCAGTGATCGAGGTTTTTTCTAGGTCATGTGACTTTGACGCCTCCCAATCGTTCTAGGTCTGGCTAAATGTTTACATTCCGATAATCGAATTAACCCTAATCTACTAGTTTGACCCATATAACTGACTTTGCTAACAGTCATTACTTATTATTATTATTGTTTCCTTCAATTACTAGAGGAACATAGGGCTTCAACCATGCGTCTCCATTGCGTTCGGTTCTCTGCTAGAGTCTTCACCTGGCTCCAAGTCTGCCCACACGTTTTCATCTCCTCTTCATATGACCTCCTCCAAGTCACCCTTACACTGACGACCAACTCGCCGCTTCCTTTTCGGTTTCCATTCGAGCAATGGCTTGTCTAGTGATGTCACTCACTTGATGGTTTGTTTCCTCAGAGTATGGCCAGTCAATCCATCTCCATTTCTTCCCGCATATTTGTTTCACAATCGGTTCCTTCTGAGTTGGTTCGCTCATTGCCAGAGATCCCTCTCTGTTGCTGATCTTTTCAGGCCGGCCATCTAATCTTGAGTGGTATTGAGCGAAGCCAACTGTTAATAAAGTTCTGTAGTTTGTTTGAGATGCTGTTTATGACGCGCAGTGCAAATCTCTGATCCGTATAGTAAGTAGCACTGACTGACTTCACATTGGAGTTGAAAATCCGGATGTTATTTTTGACGCTGGGTGCTGTTGACCTCCACACAGGCTTACATTCATTACTTGGTGAATTATATTGCTTCTCCTAGTTGGATCTGCTGGGTTGTCTAGCTGACGGAGTTTGTTTCTGAGTGAGTTGGTTGGCTGGTTGGCTGGTTTAAATGCCACTCTAACTCTTAACTTAAGAGGAATCCTATCGCAGTGCTATCGAGGCTTTGAATTCCTGATAATTTAAATTGTTTTCACTACTGACATTATTTATTCCTTTACGTTCCCCTGTGGTTCATAGGAGCCTTCAAGCTAGAGGCTTGAAGTCTCGGTTGCGGTGGTGTTTACGGGATGGGGTTGCTAGCCAGCCTCATGCCCCACTTTCCGTCTTTACCGGTCTTATTACTGGCTTAGCGAAGTAAGGGAGTGGGTCTGTGGCCGGGGATCGAACCTCGTGCCACCTGCGTGGTTGGCATGCGTTTTACCGCTGTGCCACAGACGAACGCAGGCGGTTAAATCTATTCATGATATTCGGTAATAAAATTTTGTAAATTTGATCGTAACCAGGAAAAATACAACAGAAGAAATGATGGTGATGATACTGACCAGTCGTTTCTTCTATATGGGT